CCCATAGGGAGCTCCACCGAAGGCCCCAGTGGGGGTGTTCGCATGCGGTTCCCCCACCCAGGGCAGCGTTTCGTGGCCCCATAGGGAGCTCCACCGAAGGCCCCAGTGGGGGTGTTCGCATGCGGTTCCCCCACCCAGGGCAGCGTTTCGTAGCCCCATAGGGAGCTCCACCGAAGGCCCCAGTGGGGGTGTTCGCATGCGGTTCCCCCACCCAGGGCAGCGTTTCGTGGCCCCATAGGGAGCTCCACCGAAGGCCCCAGTGGGGGTGTTCGCATGCGGTTCCCCCACCCAGGGCAGCGTTTCGTGGCCCCATAGGGAGCTCCACCGAAGGCCCCAGTGGCTGCTTCGCATGCGGTTCCCCCACCCAGGGCAGCGTTCGTGGCCCCATAGGGAGCTCCACCGAAAGCCCCCGTGGCGCAGTTCGCATGCGCTTCCCCCACCCAGGGCAGCGTTTCGTAGCCCATAGGGAGCTCCACCGAAGGCCCCGGTGGCGCAGTCCGCATGCGGTTCCCCCATCCAAGGCAGCGCTTCGTGGCCCCATATGGAGCCCCACCGAAAGCGGCACCCACAACGCGTTACCAACAATTGCTTATGGTTGGGTCTTTCGCCAGGATAATTATCTGCTATAAACACGGATATATACCTATACAACCACCCTTCGGGTGATAAGGAGGTTCGGGGGGGAGGAACCAACGTCTCACTCGATCGGTCTCATTATCGATCTCACCATCGATCTCACTATCGGTCTCGCTCATCGATCTCACTCGATTCATCTCACTCGATCTATTTCATTCGATTGATCTCACTATCGATCTGACGATCGATCTCACTATCGATCTCACGATCGATCTCACTATCGATCTCACTACCGATCTCACAATCGGTCTCGCGATCGATCTCACTATCGATATCACAATCGATCTCACAATCAACGTCATCATCATCATCAACAACATCATCGTCATCAACGTCATCAACATCATCATCATCATCATCATCATCACCATCATCATCATCATCGTCAACAACACCATCGGGACACCATCATCATCATCATCATCATCATCATCACCTCATCACCATCACCATCCACATCAGCATCATCACCATCACTATCATCGGGACACCATCATCGTCACCATCATCATCAACAACATAATCATTGGGACACCATCATCATCATCATCGAAACACCACCATCATCATCACCATCATCATCTCATCATCACTGTGAACCACATCATCAACATCATCATCATTATCGGGACACCATCATCATCAACAACATCATCATCATCATCACCGTCATCATTACCGGGACACAATCATCATCGTCACCATCATCATCATCACCATCATCATGGGGACACCATCATCATCAGCATCAGCATCATCATCGTCATCACTATCATCGGGCCACCATCATCAAAATCATCATCATCACTTCATCATCATCCTCATCACCGAAATCATCATCTTCATCATCGGGACACCATCACCGTCATCAGCATTGTCAACATCACCATCATCATCATCTTCATCGGGACACCATCATCATCATCATCACCATCATCATCACCGCCACCATCATCAACCGAATCATCGTCAACATCATCATCATCATCATCATCATCATCGGGACACCGTCATCATCATATTCATCATCATCATCTCATCATCAGATCTTCATCGTCCACATCATCATGATCATCAACATCGTCATCATAGGGACACCATCATTATCATCATCAGCATCAGCATCATCATCAACATTATCATCATCGGGACACCATCATCATCACCACCATCACCATCATCATCAACATCGTCAACATCAGCATCGTCATCAACGGGACACCATCATCATCACCACCATCACCATCACCATCACCATCACCATCACCATCACCATCACCATCACCATCACCATCACCATCATCATCATCATCATCATCATCATCATCATCATCATCATCATCATCATCATCATCGGGACACCGACGGGACACCGACGGGACACCGGCGGGACACCACCAGCCCCCGGAAGAGAGTCATTTAGTCCGGCCGCGCCCCAGCCACAGCGGGAAACCGGCGGGACACCGCGGGCCACCGGTTGCCGGAAGGGAGTCATTTGGTCCGGCCGCGCCTCAGCCGGAGGAGACTTTCATCTCGCCCGCCCACGCAGCTTGCCCTGCCCGCACGCACGGCACGCACGAACAGAAACTGGAACCGATTTCCCGGTAGGGGGGCTCTCCGTTCCACTTCGATCTCAACCCCTCACCTCCGACAGAGAGAATGAGAGAGAGAGAGAGAGAGACAAAGAGAAAGAGAAAGAGAGAGAGAGAGAAACAGAGAGAGAGAGAGGGGAAGAGAGAGGGAACGAGAGAGAGAGAGACGGGGAAAGAGAGAGAGAGAGAACGGGGAGAGAGAGAGAGAGAGAGGGAGAGAGAGAGAGAGAGACAACAACAACAACAACAACAACAACAACAACAACAACAACAACAACAGCAACAGCAACAGCAACAGCAACAGCAACAGCAACAGCAACAGCAATCATTTCAATACTGTTCGCCCTTATCTGCTCGAGTGTCCAATAACGCGTATTTCCCAAACCCTCGATACCCGCCGTCTTCGTCTTCGATCGAACCCATTTTGGGGGGTATACCTTTCTCCCCTGCAGGCCGGGCCCCGGCACGCGGCGGGGCCCCACGCTCGTTCGCGCTCTTCGTGGCCCCATACGCATTCCCTTCGTGTCCCCGCTGTCGCCCTTCGTGGCCTACTTCGTGTCCTTCGTGGCTTTGCTGTCGTTCTCTCTCGCTCTCGCTTTCGCTCGTCGTCGTCGTCGCCGTCGCCGTCGTTGCCGTCGTCGTCGACGTCGTCGTCGTCGTCGTCGTCGTCGGTCCCCTGTCCGTCCCTCTTGGGGTCGGGTCGACGGTCCGCGGCCGCCCCGCCGATCAGCGCTGCCGCTGGCCAGGCCGACGGTCCGCGGCCGCCCCGCCGCTTGCGGGGGCCCGGCCTGCAGGGGAGAAAGGTATACCCCCCAGAAGGGGTTCGATCGAAAACGAAGAGGGCGGGTATCGAGGGTTTGGGAAATACGCGTTATTGGACACTCGAGCAGATAAGAGCGAACAGTCTTAAAATGATTATTGTTGTTGTTGTAAACCGGGGGCCAACGACACAGTTCGACCCTCAAGACTTTCCCTGATAAGAAACAGGGTGGAGCCCCTGGAAGGGCACTTCAATCGAAAAAACAATGTGCACCGGACGGGGGGGATCAACAAAAAGTATTCTTCAGAAGTGAAAATTCAACAAGAGGAGCGCATTTCTTTATGTTCGGCGGTGACGGGCGTCATGGGGGGGGGGGGCAGGGGGGTATGACGTAACGCGCCCCCCGCCGTGTGGCCCTGGCACCACAGCCGCGCCCGCGCGCACGACGCGACGAGCGACGAGCGACGAGCGACGAGCAACGACGACGACGACGCGAGCAGCATGCAGGTGGTGATATGCCCCATTGCGCCTGTGTGCACCACAACGCTCGCAAACATGTGCAACACAGCGTCTGTGCACACCACAATGCTTGCGTGCACCGCAGCGCCTGTGCACGCCACAGCGCCTGTCTACACCACAACATCCGCGTGCAACGCAGCGCTGGTGTACACATCAGCGCCTGCGTACATAGGGCAGGTAAAAAGAGAATGTGGTTGAGGACTTGCTGTGGACAACTAAACGCCACGCCACGAAAGTGCTGATAATCGAGTGCGACGTTATTCCCTCCTCCCTCCTCCTCCTCCTCCTCCACCACATCCTCCTCCTCCTCCTCTTCCTCCTCTTCCTTAACCCCCCTGTCGCGCGGGTTGGCGCTACAGCGCACGTGCGCATCTCAGCGTGCACCGTAGAATGGTTTATTGAATTGGTCGACTTGGTTTTCGGACGGCCAATTGGGCTGGAGCCTCCTGGACACAGATGGAAAAAATTATGGTGATGCGGGCGGACTCGGGAAGACCCGTGGATTCCAACGGCGCTCCGTTGTCCATTAGTCTTCCATTCCATTGTTTTCAGTGGAATCCACACGCGCTCCATTTTGTCATAAAAATTCATTTTAACATTATATATGCAACTGTGGTGCTGAGTTGCACACGGTTGCTGTGGTGCACACAGGCGCCGTGGTGTACACGGGCACTGCAATGCACGCAGGCATTGTGGTGTACATTGGTTCTGTGCTGCACATAGCTGATGTGATGTACGCAGGCGCTGTGGTGTACACAAGAGCTGTTGTGCCCGCGTGCACGGTAGCACAAACTGACGCTGTGTTGCACGTGGCTTCTGTGGTGTACATAGGCGGTGTGGTGTACACAAGCGCTGTGGTGCACGCAGGCACTATGGTGTACACAGGCGTTGTGGTGCAGATCGCCACCTACATGCTAGTGCTACCCGTCCTCCGTTATTACTCGGCATTCCCAGACGACACCAGCGCGAAACGTCGACCCCCGCCACCCCCCCAAAAATGATTGCCGCCATCGGCCCCCTCCACACACACCCAGGCTCCAGCCACGACCGCGCGCACGACGACGACGAGCGACGAGCGACGAGCGACGAGCGACGAGCGACGAGCGACGAGCGACGACGACGACGACGACGACGACGACGACGACGACGACGACTGCGGACCAGACAGACTCCTATGCGGATTCCTACGCGGACACCTACGCGGATCCCAATGCGCACGGCGGCAGTGCCCGGAACGCACTGGGGGGGGGAGCGTTACGTCATAGGGGGGGGAGCGGGGGCCATGACGCCCGTCATGCCCCAAGCAATAAAGAAACGGGCTCCAGCAACAGCAACAACAACAGCAGCAACAACAACAAACAATGCTATGGCTGCCGTTGCCGGTGTCGCTGCTGCAGGTCGCACCTCCTCCTCCACTTTGCCACGTTGCTGGCCGCGCAGGGCCGGTGCCTGCGCCTGAGAGCTCTCCGACCTCTCCCGCTCCCCAGGCCCACCAGCGCCACTCTGCCTCCAGAGCTCCACAGCCCTCCACACCGAAGGCGGTCTGCAGCTTCGGACATGATGCGGGTTGTGACCCGCGGGCCCCGCACCTGCTTGATGCCGCTTTCAGAAGGAAGCGCGCGTCGGACGCACGATGAGCGGAGCGGCGACAACCTCAGGAGGAGGATCACGAGCAGCAGGAAGGGGAGGGTGAGGAAGCAGCAGCTCGAGGAACAGGATAAACCATGAGCATGAGTTGGATGAATGGCGACGACGGCCACAAAAGAGATGACTCTTGCATGCAACCGTATCACTGATCTTCAAAGCAGCACGCATCAACTGTTCCAAGTCCAGATGGCACGCCGAAGTTTGATATCCCAAAACGGTGGTGCACACACGCTGCCAACCTGAAACTGGGAAGCGTCGACTGCCCCTGGAGACGTCGCCCCTCTCCCCTTGGCGACGCGTTCGGTTTGAGGGGTCCTGTGCGCCTGAATCTGCGGAGTTCCCCCGCCCCGCCCCGCCCCCCCCGCCGCCCTCCTCCCCCCTCCCCATTCCCCCCCCCCTTCCCTCCAGGGCCCTGGCCGTCCTCTACAGAGCCTCCGAACAGCCTGATCAACAAGGACTTGGCTCACGCACTTGGCTCGCAGTCCCGAGCCGTGCTTTTGGCTCTGAGGCTCTAGGCCCAAAGGAGCTGCAGAGAATACGCCGCCTGATCTGGCCTGCGGGTGGCCCACCTGACAAAAAAGACACACATATAGTCAGATTTAACACTCCAAGAAAACGCTGCGAACTGTCTTCGCTCTCTGGCGGCCACCAGGCACCAATAATTCGATGACAGATTCATGCTAGGGCGCTGATGTAAGAATCTAGTCGGCAAGTTACACTTGATATTGAAAACAACCCAACATTATCTGATTGCTACTGTCACCGCGAGCGTGCATAAAATCCGCGTTTGCAACTGCTCGCAAACACTCCTTCCAGAATTGAGCAGGAACCGACCGTCCCGGCATTCCTTAGCAGGTCGCCTCGCCACTCCTTGACAGAAAGCATATCCGCATCATCCATCTGCACTGTTTGATCCTGGCGGCTCGCAATCGGCTTGAAATGATAAGTCCACGCGGGGCACCGCGCTTAGGGCGAAGCCACCCACGAGCAGACACCTCCTGCCCTGCCACGAGCCCAGTCACCACGCATTCCTGCGCGCCCTCACCAAGCAGCAGCTGTTTGGTTTTGAGGTGCGTTCGTCCCTCATGCTACTGTTCCTCCTGCTCCACCCTCCCCCTCCTTCCTCGCTCCTCTTCCCGCCTCCTTCCTGGACACCCAAGGCGGGTCTGGCCCGCCCGCTGGGTCCGCCGCTCGCCGCCTTCCTCCCTTCCCTTTTCCGCGCCCCCGTCTCCCAACCCTGGCAGCATGACCGTGCGGCGCCCGCGGCAGCGCTTACTCCGCCGACGCCGCGCCCGCCCGCTGCGCCGCTCCGCAGTGCGGCGGCCGCAGGGCGCACCGCCCGCTGGCGCGGGCGCCCGCCGTGATGCTCGCCTTCGCCCTCCTCGCTCCTGGGGGGAGCGGCGCCTGGGGGCAGCGCGGCGGCGCGCTGGGCCTCGGCCCGCAGCTGCTGCGGGCCTCGCGGCCGCCCGCCCTGCTCAAGGCCGAGACGCTGGAGCTGGCCGCGCTGGCGAGACGGCGGTGGCGCCGCGGCTGGAGCCTGCGCGCTCCCGCTGGCCCCGGCTCCCGGATGGGCCCCCTCGCTGGGCCATGGCACTGGAACCGCGTCGGCGGCCCGAGGGGGCGGGGCGGGGTCCCCCAGCGCGGAGCCGCAGCGGACCTGGCTGCAACGCGCCGCCGACGGCCGCGTGTTCGCGGCCGTGGAGGGCACTGCGGGGGCGTGCCGCACGTCTCGGCCCTCAGCGTTTTCGAGCTCGCCGAGCTCCTGTCGGTCCCCGACTGCTGCGAGGCCACGGTCGGCGGGCCCTGGGGTGGTCAGGTCCACCCCAGGCCCCCCGCTAACGCTTTGGGAGTTTCTGGCCCGTCGGGCCCAACACGCAGGGGAAGGGGAAACAACGTCCTAGACACCCTCGGGACATTCCAGGAGCGCGCAGTCGATCGCCAAGGAGCCAGGAGAGGAGGCGAAGAGCAGCGGGCTCCTCCCAACCCCGCCCCCGCACACTGCCGTTCCAACCCGGTTCCCTCCCCTCCTCTCCTCTCCTCTCCTCTCCGCTCCTCTCCGCTACTCCACAATATGAGTGCTACTCTCTCCTCTCTCTCTCTCTCGTTCTTCCTCTCCCCCCCTGTGTTGTGTGGTCGGGGGTGTTTTCCGCTGCAATGCTGGCCAGATTTTCAAACTGCCATGGCGCTCCTGCTCAACTGAATGACACTCGAGCCGCAGCGCTGGTCGTCGTCGTGTTCGTCCTCCGCCTGATATTCACCCAGTGCTGCGTTCTCCTCCTCCTCTGCCTCCTCTTTCCTGCTCGTCGACGTTCCGTCTGGATCTAAACCTTCGTCGTTAGGATGGTT